GTGGCGGTGCTTAATGAACCACCACGGATCCTTTATCCATCAACAGGGATTTTACTGCCTTAAGTGGTGAGTCATCTTATGGACCCGTGTGTGCGCGTTTCATTTGATGTCTTTATTTGATATGGCTGTTTTATTTGCCAGGGGGCTTCCAAAAGTTCATGGAAACATTTCATTATCTTTTTTTTAAAAAAAAACCCAACATGTTATTGGGAGTGCTTACAGCTATTATAACCATCCACAATTAGAACCAGCATAATTGTACAATGGTTACCACCATCATTTTCAAAACATTTTCTTTCTTCTTGAACTCTTTGATATCAACTCCCTTTTATCCCCTCCTTCCCCCACCGTACCCCCTAGGAATACTTATTATTACAATATTTTTTCCCATGATCATTTCATTGCATTTTCCCAAGAACTTTTGAAAGCCCCCCCCCTCATGCATGCATCAGTTCATAGCTAGACAGGTAGGTATGAGAATAGGTCCTCCAATTATTTTCGGTAAAGAGAGAAAAGCGTAAGGAAATCGAATATAATAAAAGGTATCCCTGCGTGCTCGTGTGAACACAGACACTGCTGTGGGTGTCCGTCCCGTGGTGGGCCGGGAGTCCCTCTATTTTACACTCTTCAGACTCCTGGGAGAGGGAGGCAGTCTCCCAGGAGCGCCAAGCAAGGCCCTGAGCATTTATTTCTCAGCCTGGGTTTGCAGGGAGCAGCGGAAGGGGATGAAGTCAGGACAAACAGCAGGCTTGCCCAATGTCTGCCGAGAAAAAAAAGGGGGAATTCCCAGATCACAGAATTCCTCAGAAGCAATGCACACTGGTTGGGGGCCCAGCATTCATCTGTCCTCCACCTCCCCCTGCGCCCCCCACACCCGCTTCCCCGTGATGTCCCATGGAACCTGGTGGCGCGGGGAATGGACGCAAACATCATGTTCATGTGGCTTGCAGTGTTGTAAGACATTCTTAAAGTCTCTGACCCAGGAGTCTCCTGTTTTGCAACAGACTTAATAATTTGGCTTGCAAATAGAGTACCCTCTAGACCCTGACATTAGGCAGTCTCATTTTCCATCATGTACATGTTTTATTTTAAATTACTTTAGATTTAAAAGTACATTTAAATATAAAAATATATTTCATATAGAATTAAATACATATTTGAATCACCGTTATATTTAATGACTTATCTATTTAATAACCACCATGTAGACTTACTGTTTGTTTAATAATGATTTATATTGAATAATAACTTTATATTCAATGCTTATATATTTAATAATTACGCTTATATTTAAAACCAGGATAAGCCAGGCATTGATTCTTCAAAATGAAAGGCAGAATTCCCAAAACGCCAAGGGGAAACGCCAATCAAGTTGATTCTGATTCATAACCACTCCGGGTCGCGTTTCCAAGGCTGTCAATCTTTACGGGTGCAGACAGCTTGATCTTTCTCTGGGACAGGAGTTGTGGGCTCGAAGCACTGGTCTTGAGGCTAGCAATCTAACACTTCCCCAATGTTGCCACCAGGACACCAAAGTCCAAGTTTACTAACGAAAGTTACGAAATGGAGACCAAGCAACAAAGAGTATCAAGAGCCCCCTAGCCACTACGCACTCCTATTCTGAGGTGGCCCGGTTAACATGTCAAATGAGTTATTGCCTGCTTGTTTTCCATTGCTATGGAAACCCCAAATCCAAACCCGTTGTCAGTGGGTCCATTCTGACTCGCAGCATTAGTCTTTGATAAAAAGAAGACCGTTGTCTATCCAGTGCTTGCAATCAGCTTGATTTAGGTAGGCAGTTCACTACTGGGGTGGGGTGGGGACACTTGGGTGAACCCCCAACTCCTAGTGATGCAGCCGAGAGCACACGTGGGTCCCCATGCAGCATGCGGGGGACCTCACCCTTTGCTACTCCGGTCAAGAGTCAGTCACAGGGACGCTCACAGGGGTCGTGCACCCTGTCCCGGAGGGTCGCCGAGTGCCAAGAGAGCCGGCATGGCCTCGATGGCAGTGAGGGTTTTGGAGAGAGCCTAGAGTCCGGGGCTTCCCCTGGTCCCGGGCACTTCCTGGGAACTCAGGGCAGGAAATGGCACCGCCCTGAGCCCTGACCTAACAGCCCAGGGACCACAAGCGCAAAGGAAACCACGCTCCCCCTGCCTCTCCTCTGCCCACCACACCCTTGCTCTGTCCCCCTCTCTACCCCAGCTCCACCAACACTGGCCACCCCAACCCCCAGCTAACGTCCTCATCCTTCCCCTTCTCCTCGACCTACACTGAGACCTCAGGCCCCCCAGGTGCCATCTCAGGCCCCCGAGAAAGCGGGTGATGGCGCCCTCATTGCAAGCAGCCCTGGAAGCCGGGGGCGGGTCAGGCAGGATGCTGGGGGTAATGTGGGTGGGGCCAGAG